TATAACTAACGTACGTGGCGTAGAGTATTAGCATCTGCAATCTTTATGCGACGTAATCGAATGGATTGCATAATAGAAAAGGAAAGCGCTGATCGGTAGGCGTTCCGATGCAGATAGGAAGTGAGATTTGTCCGTAACACCACCTTTCTGCAACAATAAGCGTGGACTCGGGAGTGCAGAATCCGCTTGGTTGCTCCATCTGTTACGATTCCTCAAATACAGCTCAAAATAGCAGCTCAGTAAATGAACAAATTCCTTTTCCATCATAAACTGAGGCCAACCCGGCAAAGCCGGCTAAAGAGAAGTAGGAGAGCTCGGCGTAAGCCCGGCCTAAGTCCGACTGGTTAAATTTAAAACCATGACACATTTTTCTGGCCAACCTAATAGTGAACAAATCGTGTCCATGGTTTAGGGACAGTCATTCATAATGAATGGGGAAGAATGCGTCAATGCTCCTTCTTGCCTCCTCGTTACCCTTCCCCACCCGTCCCAAGTTCTTCAGGGGTGAACTATTCTTGGTTAGAGACCGTTGAAAATTGTTGGCGCTACTAATGGTCGTCCGCTTAGATTCCAAAGTACATTGTCTTTATTACTTTGTGATCCTTGAGCTGATGCCATGTATTTTCTAGTTTCGTATCTCCGCTGAGCAGGGGTGTATGAATCACTTCTTTTGTCACTTTACTCTGTGCGCCTCTGCCCTACTTTCGCAGCAAAGCAAGCATGGCATGGCGAAAACGTCTGGCTTTTTTATCCCTCCGATTTTCCGGTCCTGTAGAAATGCTTAAATAAGAAGTTTCATTTTTACTTGGTTAATTCCACATGTATGTCATACACCTCGTGACCGCTTTGCGAGAGATGCGCAAAAAAATTCGTTCCAGAAAGTACGTGATTGTTGAGGTTCCATCAGAAATTCCGAGTCCTTTGCCCCAAGTTTGAATAAAATATGAATTTCTTTTTTGCTCTTAATAAGCTTAGGGTCTAAATGTTCGTCTCCCTTACTGAAATACACAGCGCATCGCTCTCATTATCATCGTATGCCTGAAATTGTTCCTTACTTCTAACCTCTAACTCTGTTCTTGTCTGTTTCTCGTCTTTTCTTGATATATTAGGTTGTCCGGAAAGTTCTTAGCGTTTTGTGCACCTAATCTTTGTACATTCACTGCTGATTAAAAACTCATTCTGCCTTGCTTCTCAGTAGCACATCCTGTAGAGAATTTCTTGCGCTATCTGATGGTATAATTGCCGTTTCACCATTGCTTGATAAACCCTCTTTTTTCAAGATTTTTTCAAAGCATGTGAAAAGAGCACTTCGGACGATTTTTTTCTTCGGCTATAAATTGGGGCAATCCGCAATCGAAACAGCTCAACAAATTAACCAGGTGTGGGGGCCCAATAGTGCTAAAGAAAGCACTGTGCGGCAATGGCTTCAACAAATTTCGCTCTGGAGATTTCAGCCTTGAAGGTGAGCCTCATAGCGGTCGACCTAAAGCAATATCTGACGAGGATTTTAGGGGGATTTTGAAGGTTGACCCATCCCAAACAGTTCGAGAGATAGCAGAAGAGCTAGGCCTTGGCAAATCCACTGTTGCAGATGGTCTGGAACGCATTGGGAAGGTGAAAAAACTCGACAATTGGGTGCCCCACAATCGGAGTGACCGGCAGGAATCGGCACGTCTCGAGGTTCCTTCTTCACTGCTTTTGCGCAAAAGAATTGACCCGTTTTTGAACGGATTTGTCACCTGTGATGAAAAATGGATCATGTATGATAACAGGAGACGTTCCGGACAGTGGTTGGATTTGGAGGAACCACCGAGGTAATTTTCAAAGCCGAACCCTCGCGAAAAAAAAATTCTGGTCAGGTTTGGTGGTCATCGGCTGTTGTAATCCACTATAACTTTTCATCACCAGGCCAAACCATCACAGCAGAACCCTACTGTGAACAAACCGACCAAATGTACCGAAAATATTGTCAGCTGCAGCCAACACTTATCAAAAGAAAGGGTCCGATTCTTTTGCATGACAACGCCCGCCCACACGTTTCACAAATCACTATCCATAAATTGAACGAATTGGGAGTTGAAGTTCTACCTCACCCACCATATTCTCTAGACCTTTCACCAACCGACTGTCACCTTTTCAGACATTTTCAGACTGCAGGCAAAAAAGACCTTTTCGGCAGATTCGTGGATTCTCGACCACCGGCGGCAGTTTTTTCTTCTGATGGGATTTCTCGAACCTGCTGGCCACAGTTGGCAAAGTGTGTGCTGATGCGAATGGTGCTTATTTGGATTAAATCCGATGAGTGTTAAGAAAGTTATGATCGTTTAAAGGTAAACACCCAAAACGCTAAGAACTTTCCGACACCTAATACTTTGATTCTGTTCTGTTTGCTCTCTGTATATCTTCTATCGTATATTCCCAAACTTTATCTCGCTAGACATCTTCCTCCTGACCATCCTGGCTACCGCTTCGCACTTCGTCAGGTGGTAGAGCGAAGCGATTGGGGTGGAAGGAGGGGAACGTTTGTCGAACTCCTGTCAATTTGCTGTCCGATTTTGTGAAGACCTATGAACTCCTGTAATGCTACAGGTTTGTGGGGGTTCACTTCTATCTTATGTTCGCTGGTATTATGCACGAAAAACACGTGCATTTACCTCTCATCGATCCGGGCATTTTCGCTATGTCCTGGGGGGGGGGGGGGTATGCAATCTCCGAGTGGGTGAATCAGCACTGAGCAAAAACCCCGTTTTCGATTTAAAACCCGAACTCATCGCAGCTCGGCGACGCGAGGAAGGGGAGGGGTATAGCATTTTGCACTTCGCTTCCCATTGTCATATCGAGCCACCGTGTAGAGATTTGTGGCGTTTTGTGACGCCATTAGGAAGTACCAATTCTCATTTTGTAAATATTACTTGCCTACTCTAGCAAAGCAATGAACACGACATGGGAAGCAGTGAATATGCACAATGCCTCCCCCACCCCGTCGCCAAAGTGCGGCTGAAGCTCAGTACATTCGAGACTTCAAACAAGTTTACGATGCTGCCACACCCTCCCGACCCGGACTGCTTTCGATCTTCAAACTTCCCTTCATGATCCCTTAACTTGAGATTCTCTTCTATCCTTCGGGTGCTTTCGTTACTATAACTTTTTTTCGACACTTTATGATTTTTTGCTCCAGTCTTCGTTGTTTTGTTTTAATTTCCATTTCCTGATTCTGCTAATGATCTAGACAACGTCCGTACCATTAACTGCCACTTTTTCCGATTTCTTAGCCTCAGGCAATCTATACGCTCGTATCTTATCCTTGTGTCGGGGATTCCAAGCGTTCTGCCATTCCCGGTTGTGGGCTTGATTTTACGTCCTGCACTAGGTCTTGGTCAACGCTCACGAATACAGGAGCTAGCGGCGAATACGAAAGCCAATCTGTAGCAGTGGCTGTTTATTATGAGCATTTACAATCCATTAAAAATGATAAAAATATGTCCCGCGATACAGTACAGTCTTGTTCACTGCGGATGAAGGGGTTCGAAAATCGGGGATGGGTTTGGCACCTCCCAAACCCGTTTTCACTAGCCGTTCAAGTGAGCGAGCAGCAAAACTGTATTCTTCTCAGTCATCTTCCACCAGTTGTTGTCGCTTACACGGTTCAACAAGTGGTGGAGAACGGGTTGACTGCGCGCCAAAGCCGGACTCTCTGACACGCCTCATCATCGGCAGCGAACAGGACTGTAACTACGCCTCAAAATAAATGAACCAGTAGTTTCACCTATAATGATTTATGTATTTGTATTTCATTAATTTAGTCCAACTCACAAGAAGAGAAGAATACAAATGAAAAACAGGAAGCTGTGAAAGTGAAGGAATACCGTCAAGCTATGTGGAGGCGACGCTGCAAGTGGACTCCATATTCGGTCCCCAGGTACATTTTTTCTAATTTCTTTATGAGTTTCCATTCAATAATTACCTCTTCGTTATTTTAACTTGGAAAATTAAAGCTGTTGTTTTTTCGTCATGTCTTATATAGAAAGTAGGGCAGCGTTCATACTTTACGTCAGCGTTTTGCGCGTACGCCAGCGTTTATAGGAGATATCGATCTAGGGTTTCCGACTGTCTGCGAAAAGTTTGAAACTATCCGAGAAACGCTCAAAAAGTGGCGGTCGTTGAAAAGGCGAGATCGACACCCATACTTTCTGGTCGCGCAAAACGCTGACGCAAAGCATGAACGAAGCTGAACAGCTATCTTCATTAAGGAAGCAACCGATCACTCCACTACCTGACGAGTTGTACTCAACGATGAGCCGAGTACGCTTTCCTGAAGACGTTGACGTGGAAATTCTCCGTTTTTGCTTACTAGACAGGTCATTTTTCTGTGCACTAAATCAGTCTCCCTCCTTCAGGCGATTTATTAAAATAGTTGTACATTCCAGGCGAGATATACCAGTGGCATGTAGCGTTCAAGCCGCACGACCACCTACACCTGATGGCGAGGTAGACGAATTGTCCGAGTATTTCGCTCATTTTGTACGTGTCGATTTGAAAATGTCTTCATTGGCAGAATCCATGTATGTATAGCATTCTAGTGTACAGTTATAGTTAATTAAGCTCTTTCTCAAGCACTGCTCTGAGTATCATGTTAGTTTTTGGTTTCTCAGGGTGACTACCAATAATTATTAATACTATCATCTCCTTATCTCCTTTCTTATTGTTTTTTTTTCAATCCCCGGTCACTCAAGTGTAGCCATTTCGTGCTCAATTCATACTGTATCAAAGGAGTTCGCCTTAAAATCATACACTGAGTCTTTATTGGTTAGAAACATTCGTTAGTGTATTATTGTATTGAATCATTTGGTATAAATAACCGCTATAAAAATGCATGAGAGATTCAAAAATGTTCAAACTGTAACTGACTAGTCAATCTGAAGCGTGCTTATAGTACAAACATTCAACGATAAGGCTGTTCAACAGCGATCACAACAGTATCGAATGTGAATCAGAAAATGTTAACTAACATTAGAAGACTTGGAGCGAGACTGATATGCAGTATTTTTCAACAAATATCTGTTAAATTGGAGAAACTCATACACTGGATGATGTGACGTAACTTTTTGCATTCCTTTAGCTAACCATGTGACACCGTGCTCTTCCGCAAACATATCTCTGGCTCGACATTTCCGGATGTAGTGCATACGCTCCAATTTTGGCCAACTGAAAAATTACAGATATATTCAACATGGTAACAAAATTCTATCGCGCTAATTGAAGTTCGTTGTGGTCGAGGGTGCGTGTCAGGCGGAGTGACTTTGGCGCGGTGCTAAACACGGCACTTGTTGAAGTGAGCAAGTGGCAACGTTGTATAATATTACTCTTATCACTCGTTTTCTTTCAATTTCTTTCGTATACCCGCGTCAGTATACCCGCATCAGCAAATGGCATGGGAAGGGTTTAGCGCCGCGGCGCGCTCATATTTTCTGGTACACCCCTTCATCAGCAGCGAACCAGAGGAACAAAACCGTTCCTTACTTCAGAATAGTGACGCTCCGTGTAACTTGGACTACTTGAAGACTTATTATAGATTAGATTAGATATAGATAGATATAGATTATTTTTTATGAGCTGAGAGGTAGTTAACATGGGCGAAGTAACTAGTCTAGTAACAGTCGAAGGCCTAATGGTTAGGCAATTTAGGAAAGTAGTGGGAGAGAAAAGCTGACGAACTACTAAACATTCACATGGATAAGCCCCGCTATCTGGCAGGGCTTCCAGTGATGTTTACTGCGTACAAGGGTAGTATATACAGCGTAAGAACGGTAAAAAAATCTGCTTCACACAGTATCGATCTACTGGCTTACAGGTGGAACAGATTTATTGGAACTGGTATTTTTAGTAAAATTAGTTCCGGTGATCCATTCATTCCATCTATAAACTACAGAGCTTTACCAGGAGTTATGGACCGGTCTATCGGTCCACAGATTCTAAGAAGGCTCTGTAGTTTTGCAATGAAGCAAAAAAGCAAGATCTACACTATTTCTGCACACGTCAATTAAGTAAGATGTTCTTAAACTCACTCCTCGTCCCCGATTGCGGCGAACGATTCCTTCCCATACAAAAGAAGGAGAAGAAATAACTGGAATTCCCTCTCCTCCGAATACAACAAAATCCCCAGCAATTTCAGGATTCCGCATGCGGGCATTTCGCCTGAGGAAGAGGCGACCTGTAAAACTTGACACTTTGTACGGAGCATATTCATGAGCGGATGTGGACACACTTCGTTTTACTGTAACCCTTGAAGTACTCCTCGTTGAAGGTCCTGCTACACCAGTAATTCCATCTTTTTTGGTGGACAAACCATTCGTCGCCGCCCGTACTGTCGTACCATTTCTGCGCTGATCTTCATCGGTCTCCTGTAGAATAATCGATTATGATGACATCAAAAACTTTTTTTGGCTATCAGAAAACAACCTCGTTGTGGTCGGAATCGTCATCGGTACTACCATCTGCTGTAGCCTCGCCGTTAGGGTTGAATATTTTCTCCATCGCCGTTATCTTCCTAAAAAATACCAGTTTCAGTGAGACTGTCTCCACTTACACACTTTACCAAAAGATGAAACCAGTGGAAAGGACACTGAAACACTCGATGGGCTCACTTCAGTTTCTGTGTCTACAAGTTCTATAGTCACTACGGGTTTCTTCTCGTAAATGACGTATATTTTAAAACAATTTTGGCAATTGAAAAACGTTTCTGCAGCACGTGAGTACTCTTCCTCGACCCTGAAAACGAATGAATTTCTATACACCATGTGCAATAATCGAACTGAGGCCTACCTTGTTTTTCTAGCCGACTGATTGAACACTGATAGAGGCAGATCATAACGAAAACGCTGATAAAGTTTCATCGTTTCAAGCCCTTCAGCACCTGTGGCCAGGAAATGCAACTGTCGTCCAACCATAGCTATGAGTTTATCAATAGTTGTTACCAAATACCCGTCTATTGGAAACAGTAACCTGTAAATGTAGATATATCGATATTTTGGCGTTGTGGAAATACAGATGTTTTCATTAGTTCTGTTAACTGCTGTCTTTCATCGCAGTTCGTGATGCGGATTTATCGCAAGTTCGCCGGGCTACAAGGTAACGCCTTACTTCAGAAGAGTTTGACTTAGACCTTATGCTTTCGCTGGCAGGTTGCAGGGCCTGTCGACCCGACATGCTCTCTGCAAGGGTCCAGAGGTATGTTCTCATCGCATCCACTGGCCCTGCAGTCGAAGGGAGACGGAAAAGGAAGAGAGAGGGGAAAGGGGACGTAAGGAAATCAAGGAAGGAGGGATAGTTGAGGAGAATCCTCGGTTGATGAATACCCCGATAAGTTCGCGGGCAATGTGCTTTCCATTGGATTCGATGACCATTCACAAAAAGCACACAGCAAGAATGCGAGCTCCAGGTTCGAGTCCGGGCTGCGGCGAGAAGCTTTCCCCACAGCTCAGCAAGCTTGTGGTAATACTACTGAATTTATCAATTGCAATAATAATGATAGCAACAGTAGGGGAACTAGAAGAATCCTGTCCTTTTAGCAGGGAGAAAATACAAGAGAAATCTGACGAATCGAACAGTGGAAAAGTAAACTTCTCACGTTCACATCATTAATGATAAACTGTACATTTACCTCCGCGGGTCCTTATTCTTGCCATGTACGCGGAGAGTGAGTCGAGCCGCTTCAGTAGCGTGCCCATTTGTTCGCTCAAAAGTGCATAGAAGCGAGGCTGAAGGGTAGTGAAACCCGGGTGGAGTCCTCGCTTGGGTACCCTTCAGCCTCCTTTCCGCGCGTTCTTAAACGTGAAAAGTGCTGCATTTACACAACTGCCAACCCGTTCTTCTCGAATATGGCAAGGACTATCCTCAGAGGTGAGGGTACAGATTGTTTCCAAATGTTGTTTTAGTTTTAAACTATTGAGGAGATGAGATGTAAAGTGCATTAGAAAGACAAGGAAACTCTCCTCAAAGTGCAAGGTCCCAGGAAGTAAGTTAAGGTTAGCAACAGGGAACCCACCTAGTGGTGAATCATGAATCGTTGAAGATGGCCGCTTTAGCCGAGGATCCTTTACTTATTATTGTGATAAAGAGACCACTTTCACAAAACTCACCTAACATTATCCTCGTAAGTATTGGGATCGATGTTTCCATCTAAAAGGCTTTTTATTATACAAAGGAGATCAGTGTAGTTGTTAGCAGGAGATCGACGAGGATTCTGCAATATAAACCTTAATGGACCAAGAAATAACGGTGATTTTTGAGAAAAAGAGTGCAGTGACCAGATAACTAGTAAAGCGATCACACTGAAGGGCCGTAGTATAAGAGAAGTCATAATATCATAGCCTCAGACCTTTATTATGTCTAATCCATTATTCGTATCACTGGCGTTGAGTTCATGACTTCCAAATCCCTTCCCGTGAATTTTGTACAACTCTTGTTGCATGGCAGCAACTTTCAGCTCTTCCTGAATTTCATATCATATACACTGTACGATCTGTACGTATGAACACATACATTTGTCTGCAGACAAATTATTAGGTTGTCCGGAAAGTTCTCAGCGTTTTGTGTTACTATTTTTGTACATTCATTGCTGATTAAAAACTCATTCTCCCTTGCGTCTCAGTAGTACATCCTGAAGAGAATTTTTGCGCTATCTGATGGTATAATTGCCGTTTCACCATTGCTTGATAAACTCCCTTTCCCTACAATATTGAAGTATGTCAAATGAGCAACTTCGGACGATATTTTTCTTCAACTATAAATTGGGTCAATCTGCAGCCGAGATAGCTCGACAAATTAACCAAATGTGGGTTAGGAGGGGGGGGGGGGCAATAGTGTTGTAGGAAGCGACAATGGTTCGACAAATTTCGTTCTGGAGATTTCAGCCTTGAAGATGAACCTCGTAGCGGTCGACCTAAAGCAATACCTGACGAGGATTTGAAGGCGTTTGTGGAGGCTGACCCATCCCAAAGTTCGAGAGATTGCAGAAAAGCTAGGCGTTGGCAAATCCACTGTTGCGGATGGTCTGAAACGCATTGGGAAGGTGAAAAAACTCGACAAGTGGGTGCCCCACAATTTGAGTGACCGGCAGAAATTGGCACGTCTCGAGGTTTCTTCTTCACTGCTTTTGCGCAGCAGAAACGACCCGTTTTTGGACCAAATTGTCACCTGTGATGAAAAATGGATCATGTATGATAACGTTCCGGACAGCGGTTGGACGCCGACGAACCACCGAGGCAATTTCCAAAGCCGAATCCTCACGAAAAAAAGATTATGGTCACAGTGTGGTGGTCATCGGCTGGTGTGATCCACTATAACTTTTGTTACCAGGCCAGACCATCACAGCAGCGATTCTTTTGCATGACAACGCCCGCCCACACGTTTCACAATCACTATCCATAAATTGAACGAATTGGGGGTTGAAGTTCTACCTCACCGCCATATTCTCCAGACCTTTCACCAACCGACCATCACCTTTCCAAACGTTTTCAGAACTTCCTTGCTGGAAAATACTCGATCTATCAGGACCAGGCAAAAAAAAGCCTTCGTGGGTTTCGTGGATTCTCGATCACCCAGTTTTTCCTTTGAATGGATTTACTGACCGGTCATTACTGACCGGTCACATTGGCAAAAGTGTGCTGAGAAGGTGCTTATTTCGATTAAATCCGATGAGTATTAAGAAAGTTAAAGTGAAACACTCAAAACGCTGAGAACTTTCCGGACAACCTAATACATGGCTCGAAAAGTTACAGCACAATGATAAGTTACTACGAACCTCATAATCTTTCATTTGCTCCGCATGTTTCGCTTTCATTTTACCAAGTCGATCGCATATCATTTGATGAACGCGGAAAAATAAGAACAGTGAGTTGCCTCCATAGACAATACGATAATGCGCGGTAGGAATCAGCTTCGGTGGTTCATCATCTGGGGCATCCGTTCTAAAACACACTGTTCCTCGAGTATGCTCGAAGAACTCATGAGAAACTGAAAAGGAAATGAGATCCCTGTTTGTTGGAATATATAGAAAAAAAACCTGCTGAAAAGAGTATAAGGATAGAGCACAAACATCAGATGAAAGCTGTTCTTGATTTACCCACTCAATCTGCTTCTAATACGCCATTTTGACACTATTTACCCCTTATGCCTCTCACCATTAAAACCAGGCTAGATCCTCATCGAGGATCTTCTCTTTCCGAATGCAGATTTGGGTGAGTGCTTGCCTCCAGAGGTACTTTGATCTACTGAACATAAGTATCACATCTCCATGTAGTACCAAGGGAATTGTAGACGGGAGAGGCATCCTTCCTTCACGGAAGTGATCCCTTCCTAAGGTGAGCCTCTGCCAAAGGTAAGATCCTTAGCCCAGGGTTAAAAGAGTATGAAGCTCTGTCGCCTGTGAGATGGGCGTTGAGAGGGTTTTGTGGCGAGAAGGTGTGGTACTCGTGTTCAATGGTCACATCACCGTTAGGGACCAGTTTTCACCGTTCCCCTTGATGTATTTTAGCGTCGGCACTCGTGGCGCTGGACCAAGTGGATATCAAATTCGTGGTTAGTGGATATTATCAGTGTTAAGAAAATCAAACTTCTCAGGACGAGTTTCCAAGCAACTCGTGGTAACCTAAAAACTTGAATTCTGAAAAAAGAGGGGTGAATTGTTGATGGTGAACCTTTTTTCGTTCAAGGTGTGACGCGCCTTATGTTTCGGATTTCGGGCACTGACTCCTGAAGGAACTTATTCGTAACGGATTGCACTGCTTGTAGTCACAGTGCTGTCACAACGCTGTTCCCTGCAGCAATTAGGCGAAACCGGTCAGGGGTTAGTATCTAAGACACTGGCAGTCGTAATTGGTCTAGAAAGACTTTTTGACTTGTGATTACTCCCGTTTGACGAGCACATACTCTCCCGCTCCCCGTTCTACGGCTCCATTTTGAGGAAAATGTGGTAATAAGTTACGTAGATTCTGAGAGAGGGTCGTGGTAGGCCAGGACACTGGAGGGGGGAGGGCGTACTGATAACGCCATCGCTCTCCTCTTCGTTGTGAATGTGCGTTTTCCTATAAGGGTTTGTTTCTCTGGATTGTACGGCATTCACGTGTAGAACAGTGAAGTGAGAATAATATGCAAATAGAGAATAAAAACCAGCAAGGAAAATGAAACAAGAACAAATAGAGTTGTTTTCAAATTTTCTCACAATTTGCGCTTTCTGGGCGGCCCAGTAGTGAAGAGCAATGGATCGCTGTTTTCCTCACCGTCACTCATCTCCTCGTCGTCGACACCGAACCACTCCGTTACACATCTGAAAAAGAAACCTCAGTAACACGCTGAAAAGTATATAGCCAATGTGAAACGGGAAAAATCGCGAAAAGTCAACCCGGAACGAATTTCTCCTCTATGGCGTCCCCTATAAAGGAACCCATTCGAGGTGGCTTCCAAATGGACTGCTGCATTGCGAACGGAAATTTTGTAAAGTTGTACACTATTTTTTAAAATTTATTTCATATCTCTTTTAGCTCTACAGTATAAGATTTTCGTCGCGTCACTACATGCCAAATTAAATGAACTTATTGAAAAAATCACTAAATTTTTCTAAGAATATATTTGAGAAACCAATAGTACAGTTACACAAAACCACAGATTAAACGACGCACCGGCGCAGGATTGTTTTTATCTTGTTCTTCTCTTCCTTATGGATGTTGGACTGCCGCTTCACATAATGTAGAATTAAATTCGAAACATCATGTATGATAGACCTCTGTTCAGGATACAACATTATCAAATGCGGACCGACATCTTCACAACGACCTTCTTCGGACCTTAAAGCACAATGTAGTAATGATATATTTTGACACAATAACGTCTAGTTATCACTAGGATTAAACCTACTTTTGCTGTCTTTCGTCGAACATAACCTCTATGTGATGAAGAAGAGCCTTTGCTTTGATCCATTTCGAGTCACTGTTCCGTAGCGCATTTGTTTGATGGTCAAGTGAACGCATCATATGCTTCTCATTCTGCTCACGCCATATCCTTAGAAATGAGAAGATATTTCTACTTGTAACATTAAGATTACTCGAAGAAAAGTTCGATCCTTGCCTGTTCATGGCAACTTGTGCCTCTCGCCATTCCTTCTCTTTGTCTCGCATTCGGTCCAACACCTGACATAAAAATAGCTTCAAAATACAAAATAAATTATTCCTTCAAGATTACCTTTGGAATAGTCATGGAAGGATTCCGCTTGATGCCCTCCGTGATCTTGGACGCATGCTCGCCGTATATCCGCTTGATGGCACGCAACATCAAAGAAGGTGAACTACCACCAAGTTTCTCATCCAAACTAAAGTGCGGTCGTGATTCAAGGAAGATGCAGGGGTGAACTGAAAACTACCTCACCGAAACTTGTCCAGTTCCTCTGGTGGCATTCGTTCCATGCGTCGCCGCACAAGTTCCAACGACTCGATAGCGTATTTGTTCACATCGATTATTATATCCAACTTGAATTAACTCTTTGAGCAGAGGAAGAACGGGGACGATGTAAAAAAAATAAAACGGGAGGCACCAAACCTCAAATCGTTCATCTTCGGTTCGATAAATAAACTCTTCGTATTGCGTCTTCTTGGAAGATACGTGGGTAGAGTCTTCGGAAGACCATGAAGGGAATGATACCCAGGTATCGTTCAGCACCTGAAACATAAGACTCAGCAACAATAATCTAAAGAACCATATAAAATTTCGGTAGAAGTCACAAACCTCATCACACAGCGGTGTCCTACCAGAACAGACAGGTCGCTTGAAGCTGTCAGGAAGGCTCCTGCAACCGGAAAGATAGAAATGACAAAGAACTAAAGGTTCCCTAATACTTTCCAGTTTTCCTTGTCAAAACTTCGGCATTGTCGTAAACTTCGTCAGAGATGTAAAAGATGTTCTGCCGCTGAGGGCTCTTAGCTGAAACGGTAGTTTACTTAGTATTTAGGCCCAATATTTCGACATGATCGACTTCCTCAAAAGCTAGTGTTTTACGGTAAGTGCAGGAGGTCTGTTGTCCACATGAATCTTGTCAAGCAACGAAACTACGACGGGGGGCACTGACCTCTGAGGCCGCGTTCATACTTTGCGGCATCGTCTAACAGCGTCTGGAAAAGACTGAAAGTATCGATATCGATCTAGCGAACGCAAACGTCCACTAGCGTCTAAAAGCATCCACCTTTACAAGTAGAGAGTATGGGGATGTAGGAGAGTAGCATACTGCTGGTAGAGTACGCGAGGAAGTAGGAGGCAGACAGCTCGGTTAAGCGTTGTGAAATTGTAGCGTACGCAACCGCACAGCACTACCACAACACCGTACATTAAATCGCAGTTCCGTGCTTCAGCAGTCACCGCAATTTCACGACGCCTAATCCAGCTGTCTACTCCATCCCACTTCCCTATACTCTACCAGCAGTCCGCTACCCTCCTTCTTCCCCATACTATCCACTCCTCGACGCTGCCTGACTTTGGTGGACGCAGGCTTCGCTATATCGATATCTTCACTTTCTAAGCACTGACGGACGCTCGAAACGCTGGTGGTCGCAGGTGTCTGCCGCAAAGTATAAACGCAGCTCGAGGAAGACGATTACATCGAAACATTAGACCGAATATACTAGGTAAACTGTCTCCTGAAAACTTCGAACGGCAGAACCCTTTTCACAGCTTCACTGGAATAATACCACATAAGCAAAAGCTTACCTGTAACTAACTCCAAGTTGTTTACAACTTGAGTAGTCAATCTGATGGGCAAGATCACTAGGAAAGCGTTGTTCTATAGAGGCAGCAGCTGTCGATGCACTACTAGATTCACTTTCCACTCCTAGAATTTTTCGAAGACCATCAAGAAGGTGCTTTTGGTGACCTGAATCAAGGACAAATATACCAAGATTTCCATTGTTCCACTTAGACTGATGACCCACTCACCGAAAATAGCCTCCAGCATAGTCAAAAGTTCAGTAGCAGATACTATATTTGCACTGTAAAGATTGAGAGCGCGCAAAAATGTCTGGTATTTTTGCGAATCAAGGGAGCGGCGGATCTTGAACAAGTAGTATTAGGGCGTTAAATTCACATCATATCTCAGAACAGAAGACAAAGACTGTGGAAAATCCAGGATGAAAATACACTCACATTGTCAAAATATATGATGTCTTCAATAGTTGCACAAAGAGCTATATCTTTGACATCCACTTCCCTCTTCCAAACGGGATCGAAACTCGACTTAGACTGGAATTAAATCCCATATTTGAAAAAAGAAACAATAATAACACACTAAAAGCGAAATCAGCACTGTACGGGACTACACTCCAATACATGCTACATTAGATTGCTGCATTATAAACGAAAGACTTGAGAAGCGGAAACTGCCACTCTTTTCTTAGAGAGAAGCTATTCTTTCGAGTTCCAACCATAAACACAGACAGAGCTCACTTTGCAGAGCCCAAAAGAAGACTGAACCTGGGTTTTCGCGCTTACGACTAGTATCAATCCGCTGTCCTTATAGAGCATGAATGACTTTGTTGGACTTAGTGGACCTATTCACGGAGAGCATTTGTTGCTTCCTGGCTGGCGCCATTTCTGCTCGAACATGGTAACGAACCGCACTCCCATTCCAAGCCAGGTTATAAGGTGTTTGAGTCGAGTACCGCAAAGAGGGACATCGGAACCCTTGGGCCTAAGTCCGACTCTAGTCATGACGATTAACTACTGATAATCGATCTATTTCTTCTCGAAGATTTTTTTAGTACGGCGGCTTTTTCATAGCTCGATTAATTTGAAGTAATGTCGACTATTATAAAGCAGCCCTTCACAGTTTGTTGTGCACAGCAGTCCTAGTTAGGCAGCATATATACTTTTTCTTCGCTTTTTGATCATTTCGCGAGATAAGCCAGCGTTTTAAGGGAAAGGAATTAAAGATATCCATCTCAAAACTCTAACCGATACCTGCGCTTTCCCTTTTGCTCGACACGCTCAAAACGTGCAATGCAAACTATGAACGCAGTCCTACAGAAACAAGGCTAAAGAATGAAAAGCGTAGCGGTAAGCGGTAAGGATAACGTGTTGAAGAAGCAGACATGGAGAAAAAAAAACGAAGAAAAAAGCATACCCTGGTAGAAAAACGAAGAAAAAAAAGCATTCTCTGGCGTAAGGCAGAGCAAGTTATCAAGAGTAAGAGTGAGACGTCTACCTGTTCTTGAGTTGAACGGCAAATTCCTTGAAAACCACGAAATGGACGAACCTTCGACGTGCTCGCTGAAGCCCTTGATCTGCGTTTTCGCTTCGGCATAGTTTCCATATCCGGGTCAGAGTCCGAAACTTCCATCTTTGATGGGTATTCTTCAGAATCCGATGAAATAGTTGCTTCAGTCTAGAAAATGACGTCGTCACGTATGAACAGAAAAAATGGGAATCTCTTTTGACTACCTCCTTCGGTTCACCATCGAACAAAGCTTCTGAGGGATCTCGAAAACCATAAACACCAGGTAGGAAATTTCGGAACTCATCCAATAAATCCGGCTCATCACCGAACAATGACGTCACCGCATCTAACACTGCTTTTTCTCTCTGGGGAGTGCGAGCCTGCAATCACCATCGATGAAAAAACATTAACATACGCCAGAAGGCATCTATATATTAAAGGTAGCCCCAAAGAACCGTTTCCAAGCAAAAAACATAAAGACTGATAAAGGAGACAGGAATGAAAGTTGTTCCATATCAATACAACTAAAATCGTAACAATCAGAGGCGGTTTCGCGATGGATAGGATGAGCCCACCTACGGCATTTTTACTGGATACTTTCGTCCTGAACTGAACACTAACCGATCATTAATGGTGCAAAAAGGAGGCTAGAGGCGAGCTCATTCCGCCTCCTACACCTCCCCAAATGACTGCGGCGTTATCAGCTATATGTTCTCAAAATAAAATGATACCTGTTGATCTACCGTCCTCTGATACGAATGCAAGATGTCGAGGAATTTCTTATATACAATCGGCCGGTTGGCGAATCTTGCCTGAACACAAACTTAGCTGTAGCCTTACTTCGTTATCTTCGTAAAAATCACCTTTATTCGATTGACGTAGCTGATGGCTTCATTGATATCTTGACTACTGGTGTTTAGTATAGGAGTGCTGGCCTGAAGGAAGATTTAAAATTCGACCTGTAAACTCGAAACTAAAAGCAACTTCGTGCTGCAATGCATCTGTAGTTTAAGTAGGAGCTGTGTCACATACCACACTAGGTGATGGAGCAAGTGCTGCAGGTGTTGGAGTGCCATGAGTACTTTCGACAGGTTCAATCACTGGCGGGCACGGTTGAGGGATTTCAACCACTGCCGGTTTTTCTTCAACGACACGCTCTGCCTCCGGATTGTTGAAAATGACCTGTACATCACATATTAATAAAGTTGACCATATACATAATCCGAAATAAATGATCATATGAACACCCCCTGAATAAGCGCATGTTGCCAGTGTAAATCTCTACTTTATCTGCGTGTAGAAGCCTTATTACCTTCCAGTAGAGTGGGCTATCGACGTGTTGAGAGGGAAGGTATAAGGGAGGGGGGGGGGGAGAGTGTGGTGATCACTGTTTTCGTCTCGACTACGACATGAACCGTACTTTACAGGAGACTACTGAGAGCTCGTGACTGAGGGAGGCGGTCGTTTGGCGCGATCACATTGCAGCTGACGTGTTCTGACAGGTAACGGTACGTGCCTACCAAGCTGGATAACTTGCGAATCACTGAACTTTGAGGTTTTCGTGAGTTATAGCCCACCAAAAGTCGTGGCTGTTGGCCGTTGTGCTCACGGTTTCAAGCCAAGTCCTTCTTCTAATGATTAATTAGGGAAATACACTGGTTTGGAAGTTTGGACGAGTTGCTTCACCTGGAAGTCGGTTTGCCTGACATGTTTTGACGCGTAGACGACAAAAAAAATCGCGCCGAACGACATACACCCATATGAGGCTTAGATACTAATGACACTATGGTAAATAACACGAAAGATTGAAACAACACTGAGAAACCCTCACGAGTGCCAATATAGTATAACATACTGAAGTGCGTCTGTACGGGCAAAGGCAAGAAGCGTTGGTCGGACGGATTCTCACCTGTTCATGCCAGCCGTTCCTTCTTATCACCTCATTCCCACCATTCGCAATGGAGGGAGCTAGCAGCGAAAAAACCGTACCATCAGGTAGCACTTAGAAATGAATGTTGGGCGGGCCCGTGGCCCGTGGCCAGTAGGCGGAGCTGTAGTTCCATCGTTAGTGGGCAGGGCTTTCTTCAGATATTTTCGAGCTAGGAAAGCAGCACATTCTCCTTGCAAGCGGAAAGCGAAAGCGGGACGAATGAAATCGGGACAAGCTATTAAATTAGAGAGTCAATGAGTTTTGCAAGAACATACGAACGATGGTCCCGAACTTCTTACCAAAATCGCTTTGGTGGCTCAATGACTGCAGTGGTTAGTGCTCCTGCCAGCTCACGTCGCCCAAGGGGTACCTACGCAATTCAAGCGTAGGGTAGACTGACGAAATTGAATAAGGAGACGATATTTTACGTCCCCGATATATATGTCCACAATAGATTAATTAAGAGAAAGAGAAAGAAAGAAAGAAAGAAAGAAAGAAGAAAGAAAGAAAGAAAGAAAGAGAAGAGAGAGAGAGAGAGTTATCTCGAGATATGACTCTCGAGGTACTACTCTACTGTGGTAACCACCGCAATTGACCAGCTTACATTGTGCGACCAGTGAATCGTAAACAGGGCCGAAGTGCCAAGCGCAACTAAGGAACATAAGGAAACGAAAAAAAAATCCAGTACTCACCTGTTTATTCCCGCTAGGCTCTGTGATGGTGATCTTCGATCCCACCACTTGCACTTCAAAACCTGGAGGCAAGAATGTGTTGAAGCCCATTATGAGAGCAGATCTTCCGTGAAATAACCGGCTCACTCGAGTGATCACACCAGGCGTATCGATGCTGAATATGTGAAAGTAGAAAAGACTAAATGCATATGGCTCCAGCTCATTGTGAGTGTACGTACGCTTGAGACTTGAAATCTTTCATGATATCGAGAAACTGAGTATAAACATTCGGTTGATCGGCGAATTGAGTTTTCACTTGATCCAGATACGAGAGGGCATCTTCCACCTGCACATGCACAAACAATTAAATGAAAACCGCGAAAAAGTCTAAAGAGACTATTAAAAGGGGAGCTGTTCATGGAGGAGCTGGAATAAAGAAGTTACCAGCAAACTTCAGTACTGCGGCCCCTTCACATTCCTTTGAATTGAATACAAAACAAGTGGATATATTCCCATTAGATAGCTCTAGCATGGCCCATTTTCTTTGTGCCTACTGTGTTGCCGTACCGCAATTTTTTTTCAAGAACTGTTACCTCCCTTCCGATTTTATCCCTAGTGAGTTGCATCAAAACAGGAGGGGGGGGGGGAACTTATGCACCAACCTAATATGTTCAGGCCTATCAAAAACTCAATCCTTTCGCGCATACATTGACAAAGAATAACTTCTTACAGATAAACCAGAACAAACTTTGACTCTGTTGTGATTCATTCCATGAGCGTTCATATCATACTGATCGTAGAGACTGCTCCCTGAGCCACCGCTGCCGCAAGCGTTATACATACTGGAAAAGGTTGATTATAGTAGAACCTATAAGAGAGAAGAAAAGATTACGCGATGGTTGAGGAGAAACAAAGGCTTTCTTGTTGAAAAATGTCTTTGCTAGATCGGCTGATTCACAGCAGGTACTAATCACCCTACCCTAGTCGGAATCTAGGCTCTACTTTGCACGAAATATGCTCGTCGAATGAATACACCTCAACATTTTCATGGAGAGTGACTTCTCGAACACGATTATCACACCCAATGGGTGCAGAAAGGCCATGTGCCCGCGTTACTAGCGCAGCGCCACGGTCCTGTGTCTCGCGTCAATTTCTTACAATCTTTTTTCAACTCCTTCCCCACTGTTGCTCTCATTTCGTCCACCCTGCCTCACTGACCAGTCTAGGGGTTGGCGGAAGTACAGTGGTTTGTATGAGGCAAGGGAGTAAACAAGTGCCGTTTTGTAGTAGTCGCGCCAGTTTTGCACAGTACTGTAAACTAGCGCGCCCAGTGCACCTATGGATGCGCGCGAACCGAGCGCAATTTCAACAGTCTCACTCTTCATGGTGTGATGTAAGGTTACAGGGCTTTGTCACACGGTATAGCATCGTAATGTGTGAGATGGTGGTGTCAGTAAGACCCTCACCACCTTTGAGGGTCTCGGTACGACCCCTTCCCCAACACCTACCTACTATTATCCTGCGAGTTTCCAGCTTCCTACCAGTTTTCCCAGGAGCTCCCACATTTTCCAGTTTCTTCACTCTGAAATCTTTCGTCGATATATAGCACCAGTGAAACGGTAAAAACCGCGAAAAGTCA